TTAAAGGACTCTTGACATGTTGGAGACACAAGATTCAAATTTGTTATTAAGCTGCTATAATATTGTTCAATTGCTGAAATGATTTCGCGATCTTTAGAATGATGGGATTTCTCATAGAGCTCTTTGGCCTCAAACTTACTTATTCACAGCATTTGTCATATGCAGCGACATTCAACTACAGCAAAGTAAATAGGTTTAAAACCGTGATTTCCGCCTGCTGGAATGCTTTATCATCACACACACACACACACACACACACACACACACACACACACACACACACACACAATAGCATCTTTTCAGACATGAGACCTTTTCAAGAACTGTTGTGAGACAAAACATTCTGAAGTGTTCTGGGTACCTCACAGTCTTACATTCAAGGACCGAGGGGAATTTTGCACAAATTTTTATGTCTGTCACCTTATGGAGACTGTTCTCACTGGGTGAGCTACAATTTTCTGACCTTGCATGTTTAAGTATTGAAAATGAACTCTGTTTAACATCACAGATTAATGGTTAACCCTCAGTCATACAGAATTATTTAGAACCTTTGTTTCCCCCTCTTGTTTTGGGGTAAAAGAAACCAATGCAACTTCCAGGGGGCATCTTAGAGTCAGAACACATTTAATCCAGTATCTTTCATCTTGGCCATTTGCACGATTCTAATCATGTTATCAACAATCCCAACTGGCCCTGAGACGGTCCCAATGATTACTATTCTGATCTGTCTGGGAAAGAAACTTTGCTCTTTTCGTTCCTTGATCCTGGCTCAGTCCCCTCCTCAGACAGGAAAGCTCTGAAGATTGAGTCACTGCCCTTTAAAGATTCTTACTCTGCAGATGAGCTTCTGGAGGTGCTCATCTTGTAGCACAATTTTCTCAGGAATTAGTGAAAGTAACCACTGAGTTGAGAATCTTTCCAGAGGAAATCTCCCAAGTCTGGTTCCTCTGCACACACTCCCTGGGGATTCCAGGACTCCAGGCTTCTCCTATCCCATGACGGAAGGTAGTCTGGGGGCAGCGAAGTTCTCCGGACAGGCCCACAGGCTTAGTCTGCATCATCCCATCCCTAAGAAAGGTGGTCTGAGTTACTGGCCAATTTGGTTTCTGTTTTTATTGGTTACCTTACTTCATATCGCAGCTTAAACAAATGTTGTGTTTGTGGGTTCAGTTAGTCATGGCAAATAAAAAACATTTTGTGGGGGTGGAAAGGAAGCTTAGGGCTCTTTTTCTTTATCTACCCATTGGAATTAGTGTGTTCCATGGAAGGGTTAAACAGAATGAGTGGTGGTCCTTTATTCTATCCCAGTTTGTGGCTCAGGGCTACAGAGCAACTATCTGAAGGCAGTTTTATCCAGCACAGTGAAATCAAAGTTCCCAGGGCTCTGGTCATTAGCTCTGATGGGAAAACACACACACACACACACACACACACACACCACGGTATCTTTTCAGACATGGGACCTTTTTAAGAACTCTGTTGAGAGAGAAAACATTCTGAAGTGTTCTGGGTACCTCATAGTCTTACATTCAAGACTGGGGGGAGTTTTGCACAAATCTTTGTCTCCCTTTAGAGACTGTTCTCACTGGATGAGCTACGATTTCCTAACCTTGCATGTTTAAGTACCGAAAATGAACTCTGTTTAACATCTCAGATTAATGGTTAATCCTCAGTCATACAGAATCATACAGAACCTCTTTTTTTCCCCTCTTGTTTTAGGGTCAAAGAAAGCAATGCAACTTCCAGGGGGTATCTTATAGTCAGAATACATTTAATCTGGTATTTTTCATCTTGACCATTTACGCGATTCTAATCATGTTACCAACAATCCCATCTGGCCCCGAGACAGCCTCAATGATCACTATTCTCATATATCTGGGAAAGAAATCTTGCCCTTTTCTCCCCTTGATCCTGGTTCAGTCCCCTCCTCAGACAGGAAAGCTCTGAGGAACGAGCCCCTAACCTCTAAAGATTCTGACTCTGCAGCTGAGCTTCTGGACTTGCTCATCTTGTGGCAAACTTTTCTCAGAAATTGGTAAAAGTGACCACTAAATTGAGAATTTCTCCAGAGGCAAGCTCCCAAATCTGCTTCCTGTACACACACCCCCTGGGGATTCCAGGACTCCAGGCCTCTCCTGTCCCAGTGGACCAGTGGAGGTGACTCAAGACCTGGTCCTGGTCTGGGGCCGAAGCCTACACAGGAACTGACAAGGGGAGACCATATAATAAGGTCATTTTTTCTTTCCATGTCTCCAGGCCTGACTCTAATCATTTTCATCTCCTGTTAGACAGACTGGCCTGCCTTCTTACAGTTCTCACTAGGGATTATTCACCCTAATATTAACAAACAGTGCGTGTGAACAGGTTCGTTACATTTTTTAAGAATGTGATTTAATTCTTGGTGAGGGTGCCCAAGGATTTGCTGCTCACACTGCCCCAGGCGGTGTTCTGATCATAATTTGCTGGCCAGTAGGTTATGGGATAGCACTCTTTGCCTGTCTCCTGCCACCTTCTCACCTCTGAAGCCGGCAGGAGGACTCAGCTGACCACGAGGCAGGTCCAGGCTCACCTCCCAACGGGTGAGCATGGCCATCTCCCCCTCCTGCCACATGCAACCTGGAGCCTTGGCCCTCCTCCAAAAGCCCAGCACTTGAGGTCCCCAACTGCACCCTCACCGCTTAGTCTGCCCAGTTTCCGTGTCCCAGTTGGCCACTAACCACTGGTGCTTTCCCACTGCCTAGAACCTCAGAGGTTAAGATGGGCGAGTAAGAGATATGCTTCAGCCTCGTCCCCCGATCCCACCATGCATTTTTGAAACATTTTCAACTGGGGCAAGAGAGTGAGGTTTAGAGATGACCAGGAGAATGTACCCCAGAACACCCTCTCCCCTGAGGAAAATGGGGACACAGGTGAGGAGCTGCTCTGCATCATCTGACCATGCAGAAACTCAGAGGAAATTTCCATCAGAATTCTAACACTGGAAAAAAAAAACTCCCAGCCAGGCTTGGTGGCTCAACCTGCAATCCCAGCACTTTGGGAGACCAAGGTGAGTGGACTGCCCGAGCCCATGGGTTCAAGACCAGCCCGGGCAACTTGACGAGACCTTGTCTCTACAATAATTTTTTAAAAAAAATTAGCCAGGCATGGTAGTGCATGCCTGTGGTTTCGGCTACTTGGAAGACTGAGGTGGAAGGATCACCAGCTACTTGGAATGTCGACATTGGGGTGGCTGTGAGAGTGCCACTGCACTCCAGCCTGGCAACAGAGTGAGACACCAACTCAAAAAAAAAAGAAACAACAACAACAAAAAAACTCCCTTCTTTCCTATAGTAAATTATGTGGAGGACATAATTTTCTGCAAGTAGCACCTGGGGAGGGAAGGGAGGAGCTCTGATAAAGTCCTGACCCAGATGGAACCACCAACTGCACTAACCTAAAACCCTCTTTCATATGTTCCTTTAAGAGAACTTCCACCATCACAGGAAATCCTGTTGAGTGGAAGAGCTGGACTCCATCAGCAATCTACTCTCCTAAGATGGAATCCTTCAAACACAAGCAAATCCATGCTTATCATCTTGCCTGTGAAGAAAGAGTGCTAAGACACAGGGTACATACCCAGGACTTACAGCCAGACCACCAGGGTCCACATCCCAGTTGTGTCATTTCCTAAAACATGACCTCAGCTAGCTCATTTGCAAAATGGAAATACTCCTAGTATCTACCTAGTATCTAGGGTAGTTGGGAGAACTAAAGGGGGCATACACATAAAGTATCACTGTTTTACATCACAGCTGCCCTGGGAAAAGAAATCCATATACTCTGGCTCCTTCCTTGTGTCCATCCCAGCTGCAGCTCTGGGAACTAACAACAACAATAATAACATACCAGCTGACATTTATAAATCCCACCAAGTGCCAGGTACTGAGTGCTAAGTTTTTAAAATTTATATACGTATATGTTTATATATAAACATATAGAGAGATATATATCAGCTCATTTAATCTTCACAGCAGCCCAATGAAGAGGGTACTATTATTACTCCTGGGGGAACTTACTGCACAGACAGGTTAAATGACTTGCCTAAGGTCACATAGCTAGTAAACCGTAGACTCTCTCAGGCAATTATTAAATCCCACTTGTCATGAAGATTTTTACAAAATATCCGAGTCTGGGAGTTACGAGATCATGGGGCAGGGCTAACTTGCTCTCCCTGACACACGGCAAAACAGTCCCCACTCAGCTAACAGAAGCCAGGTTAACAGGACCCCTGCAGACTGGGCTAAAACTCAGAAAGTGTTCCAAGCCAGGATATTGGCAGTCAGGCAGCCAGCTCTGGGCAGGCCCGCAGGGAAAGAAATGAAAGTAGTGGAAGGCCTGGTCTTTGAAAGTTCTTCTCCAAATCTGCCCTGGTTACTTGAGACGCAGACCATGGCACCTCATCTACGGAGAGCCTTAGGATGAATGGTAAACCACAGGGACCTGGATTACCAAGATGAAACAAAAACACCACCACCCAAAAAAAAGAAGGGCAAGCAGAAAAACTGATCAAACTGTAGACAGAATTCAAGCGGAGGAGGTGAGCTGGGCAGAGAATCCTGATAGGTTATCGGAGCTAGGAGGTCACCTGCTCGAGAAATATGCTCTACTTTAAAATGTCGCTTCCACTTTGATGGGAAACAGTAAGCCTCCCCACCCCCCACCAGAGGTTCACAACGCTGCATCCCAGAGTTACCTGAAACATGGAGGCGTGTTATACAAGGAGTTGTTTCCAGCCAGCACCTTGTATTCCAGGACGGAGGGGCACTCTCTGAGGGCGAACCCCAGCAGGTCATCACGGACGATTACCACGGTGACCCCAGCAGGGCCAACATTCTTCTGGGCCCCAGCAAGAATCACACCAAACTTGAAAAGAGAAAGACGCACTATTTAGAAGCGTTTGGTCATTTTTCATAAAGGCATGCAAACTCTCCAACCGTTTCCCAAAGCACAATATTTATACGGAAGTGACTCTCTCCTGCTTAGGGAGCATTCTATGCTCTAAAGGAATCACCATCTGGGACAAGAAGTCAGAGCCCGAGGCCTGAGGATGCTCTGTCTGCCTAGTTTTCACCTGGAAGGGGCTAACCCAAGCCCATCACTGCAAAGGCCTTATACATATTCATATCCACTCTGCATTCCTCTTTTCTATGTCCAAACCAGTCTTTTAACACGGGGCCTCTAACTCTCCTTGATAACCATGAGATAAAGCAGTATTTTTCATCTACTTATATGTATATAAAGGGACAGTCAGAAGATACGAAGAAAGGGACATCTGTGACAAAGAGAAGGGACACAACAAGCCATCTGAAGGACAAGACATTTCAGAAAACAACAGATGTCTACAGGTACTTCAGGAATTGTTATGCAAAGCACAGAACGCTCCCCCATGCTTCTCCATGAAATCTTTAGGAATGTCAAGCAGTAGTGGGAGGCGGGGGGAGTTTAAATTGTTTAAAATTTTACTAGTGCCTGATAATAACAAAAAGCAGACTATCAACCAAATAGGGTACAGCCATACAATGGAATATTATTCTGCCTTAAAAAAGAAAGGAAGTTCTGACACTTAATGCAACGTGGATGAATCTTGAAGACATTCCACTAAGTGAAATAAGCCAGTCACAAAAGGACAAATATTGCATGAGGTACCCAGAGTAGTCAAGTTCATAGAGACAGAAAGTAGAAGGGAGGATGCCAGGGGCTGCAGCAAGGGGGAACATGGGAAGATGCTGTGGAATGGGTATAGAGTTTCAGTCTGGGAAAAGGAAAAAGTTCTGGAGATGGATGGTGGTGATAGCTGCATGACAACATGAATGTTCTTAATGCCACTGAACTGTATGTTTAAGGATGGTTAAAATGGTAAATTTGATGTTAAGTATATCTGACCATACTTAAAAAGGCAGACGATCACTCAGTCAGACGATCACTCAGTCAGTTCAACTGTTGTTTTCAAATTCTCTACAGATACCACCCCTCTTGTTGCATGCACCTGGTGCATGGGGCCCACTGCCTCGCCTTGGCGAGCTACTCCTAAAGTTTATGTGCCCTGTCCATCCTTTTGGGGGACAAGGCAAGGGGGCTCCTTCACATAGGTGCTCTGAGTCTGGAAAATCCACATATGCCCTTGAAGAGAGTAAATCACTCCCAATGCATTGGCCAGAAAAGCTTCTAAGGTAGGCAGTTCCCCCAAGGACTAGAGAGTGACCCTGTGAAGTAATGATTTCACGAGACTGGGAATACCAGAACTTAAACATTTCGATAGTCAGCAATAAGCAACGGTCAGCCCACTCATCGGAAGGTACCCTGGCTCAAAAGCTCTGTGAGCCCTAGTATCCCATGGTACTTTCTGTTCTTGTGTCTGTTACAATGCCCCTAAAGGAACTGAGTCACTGGGTTCCCCACACCCAGCCCCTTTTATACTCTACCTTGGAAACATCCACTGGCTTAGATAGAAAGTTTGAGGACATGTCGCAAACCAGTACTGCTCCCTTGACATCAGGTATGAAGTCAAACTCCACACCGTGCACGGTCTCATTTGCGCAATAATATACATAGGAGGCTTCCGGGCTGAGGTCCCAGGTACTTGGATCTGGAATTTCTATCACAGAAGACAAGTTTAAGACTCTGCATTTTCACTCTCTTCCTTCCTTATGCAGATGGGAATTGACCAGGAGACTGATACACCTTTCCCAGCAGTGAAAGACTGACTCCAAAGCACAATGCAAGTGAAAGTACCCTGCGAATCCTCCATTATCCCTGCCACTGACATCCTGAGAAGGGGTCAGTCCCACCTTTTGACTGCTACTGGGCACAAATAATTCTCAAAAACAGCATGGGAAGCCAGGCTTAGAGTCCCAGCTACTCAGGAGGCTGAGGGGGGATGATCGCTTGAGCCTAGGAGTTCAAGGCTATGTATGCTATAATAGCGCCTATAAGTAGCCACTGTACTTCAACCTGGACAACAACATGAAACACCACTCAAAATAATAAAATAAGTGTTTTTAAAAGGCATGGGGAACATTTGTGTGTTTTTTTTTTCTTGTCACCCAGCATTCATCAATCCTACGTCCGTTGATGAGCTGGTAGTTTCTTCTTGGGACCCCAGCGCTCATTCACTGTCAGCCCATGTGGTTCTACGGGAGCCAATGGACCCTGCAGTCCAGAGGTAGAATGTGGACTGCACAATATCACTTGGGGCATGTGATGCATGAGACTGTTCAAAGCTTCACAAAGGCATTGAAACTTGGGACAACATAAGGTCAGGAGCAGTTGCAACCGTCTTCCAAAAAGAGGGGACAGCACTTCCTGACTGTGGAGCCACCATGCAAGAGACAGGAAAGCACCAGGGCCTAGAGACATTGTTGGGGCCCCTGATCAAGTCATACCTACAGCCAAACCAGCCCCTGGACTTTTTAGCTAAGTGAGCTTTATGGATGCTCTTTTTGCAGAAGCTAGTTAGTAGTCTTAACTAGTACAGTCACTCAATCTAAAGGGTACTGAACTCCTGACAAAGGGAGGAAAGAAGTTAAAACTGCAGGTTGCCCTGGGCAGGGGCAACCCACTAATCAGCATTTCACTGTCCAGCTCAGCTCCCAGAACTTACTCGTATAACTTCCAAGTTTAGGGTGGACGATATTCACAGTTCCAAACTTCTTAGCTTCTTCTGCAGCCTTAGCTGACCAAGCTCCTGTCACCACATAGTCAGCACACCTTCCTGCTTTCAGACCAATCAGGTTTAAGGGGACAGCACTGAACTGGCCAGACCCACCTCCTTGCACAAAGATCACCTTGTAGTTGTCAGGAACAGCTCTGGGAAGAAGCACAGGTGACAGTAAATACAGTAAATCTCACGCGTTCAAAGATTGAGAATGAGTGATCCTCTACCAAGTGCTATACTTGGAATTTACTACAAGAAATATGGTATAGTTCTGCTCTGTCTTCCCTAAGTCACAAACTTCTGGAAAAAAGGAGCTGTTTCTATGGCGGGAAAGAAAAAACTTGTTGGAGCTAATCCTGTAACCACTGGTAGCCACCTGGTGGAGCAAGCGCAGAAGAAAGCAGAGCCAAGAAGACAGGGAAAGAGACCTTCCTGGCCATCATCTGAGCACCTAAATCCTCCTATACTTTTCTGTTAGGTGAGGTAATACATTCCCTTTTTCACTTAAGTCAATAAGCTGGGGTTCTGTCACTTGCAACCAGTTGTCTCAGAAGCATCTACGTGTTACGTACCATGCTATGAACGAGGTGGGTATTGGAGACGATTTTTGATAATGTTTCTGAACTAGTCACATGATTACAAACCCACTTATACATCCAGATAAAGTGCAAAATTATTTGACTCCAGAATAGAAAATTACGATGATCATTAGGAATGGCTATAGGCAATAGAGTAAGACCAGCGCCAAAGGGATGAAGTCATGGAAACCAGGCCCAAACCTTTGCGTAAGGTCAGAGCTTAGGAACAGGTAGAAGACAGATGGCCAGAGAGCCAGAGCTCCAGCACAGACACACAGGTATCCTAATAAAGTTCAGGGCAACATGGGGGGTATTAGGGAATAGGTGGTAGCAGGTAAGTATCTTGTTCTGAAAGATGCCTAGCCTACTTTCAGTGCTCAGTAGGACAGCTAAGCAGCCAGGCAGGTCTTAGAAGACTCTAACCATGTGGTTCTTAGTAGCTGAGCAGACTGATACCCCAAGGCAGAGTTCCAGGTTTATGTTATTCAGATGCAGGCAATTACAAGGCCAAGATCTGGATGGAAGGAAATCAGGCAGAGGTGCAGGGATACAAGGTAGGAACTTGGTTAGGAGAAGAAAGGACAAGCCCATAAATTGAACTGGGACTCCAGCCAGAAAAGGCTCAGAGCCACGAGATCAAACAACACCTCTCCCAGGCTAAGGTTCCAAATACTCCCTCAATGAAGGATAGGGTGTGAATATGACATGAGACCCAGCAGGCAGACATGGGTGTGTGAAGCCAAGCACATAAATACCAGTTCTGAACAATGCAATGAGTTTCTACGACTCTTCATAGAAATATCACCAAGCAGCCCCATCCAAATCATTTTATCAAGGCAACTGGAAAAGGAAAGTTATGAAATAAGCAGTACGATTCCAATTTTATTAATAAAATAACGCAAGAACAAGTTAGGCACAGTAGCTCACGCCTATAATCCCAGTACTTTGGGAAAATGAGAGGAGCTCACTTAAGGCCAGGAGTTTGAGACCACCTTGGGTAACACAGCAAGATCTCGTCTCTACAAAAAATTAAAAAACAAAATTAGCCAGGCATGGTGGTGCGCACCTGTAGTCCCAGCTCAGCAGGCTGAGGCAGGAGATCACTTGAGCCCAGGAGGTCAACACTGCTACGTGAGCTATGATAGTGCCACTGCACTCCAGCATGGCTGACGGAGCAAGACCCTGTCTCTAAATTAATTAATTAATTAATTAAAGAAAGAAATACTGCAAGAATAGACCCTAACATGTTAATGATTATCCCTGACTGATGGGGTTAAAGATAATTCCACTTTAATAATGAGCTTCAGTTTTTTTCTATACTTTTTACCATGAATGTGCATTATTATTGTGAGTAGCAAAGTGGTTTGTTTCAAAACTTACTATATTTATAGGTATATGTGAATATACTTAGATAATATATAAAACCTCTCCTTTAAATAGCAATCTATTTAAGAATAGGTGTCTTCTGGGTAGGAAATGCTGTGCAGTTAGGAGGCTTCATTTAAGCAATTCCTGGAGTTTAAAACTCCTAATATTACCCAAAGAGTGTGTTAAAAATAAAGTTTCTCCAGATACAACACTTGAATTTTTTAATATTCCCCTTACCAGGTGACTCTGACAACTGATATGAGACTGATACTTTAAGAACACCCGAGTTAGCTTGCAGTTAATTATGCTGACAAAAATAACGGTTTCTTTGTCATTTAAATCCCTATCAAGCCAGTATAACAGCGACAGTGCTGAAAAATCTTTCCTAGATACAATGATTTCAAATCATTGGAAATACCACATAAAATAAAACAAAAATACACAAACACAGGGGAACGGGTAGAGTTTTATGTACTAACAATGAATTTGGGAGAATCTTAAAAAGATTATTTTTAATTAGGAAACATTCTAAACAAACAGTAAAGTATAGAACATAATGGAACAGACATCCAGATTTAAAGAGTATCTAACAAAAGTAATGCAATTTGGTCTTTTTTTAAACTTACAACAATTCCCGCAAAAGTTTCTCTGTCTTGCTAATAATCTTGGTGAAATCTGATGACCTGTGGCTCATTTCTGTGGAAAAAAACATAAACAACAAAAAAAGTTCCCATTCAAAACCAAATGAACAGAAAAAACTACCAAATTTGCAAATAAATAATAAAGGGAAATTTTAGTTATTCTGCATCCAAATTGTGGCCCAAGGTTCCCTTAGTTTAGGGGACCATCCACACTGATTTTCAAATTGCAAACACTTTAGCTTTACAGCGCAGCAGAATGATTTTTCAAGTGGCACATGCATTGAACAAGTCATTTATTAACTCATCACTCTGTGATGTTCTCTGTGACTCTTAGAAACGAGAATCTACATGCAATAGTTACCCTTTAAGATAAGAGCACAGATTCCATGCTGCGGCCTCACTTAACTGTATGTTCTAAGCCCACAAGAGCAAACTTTAACAGAAATACTCAATACAGTTAACCCTGTGGTCTCTTAATACCATGCAGCCTTTGGAACTACAAAAAAGAAAAAAACCTAAATAAAAAGAAAGTAAATTTTAGAAATCAGAGGTCCTCTTCCCCAACATTACAGAGGAGAGAAACTTAACCAAATTATTAATGAGCATGATCATCACAAAAGGCAAGTATACTTTTAAACTTTAATAAGGTTGTGTTTAAGTATAATAAAAACTGTAAACTGAATGTGAAGCAATAGTATCAGTGTTTGGGGACACTGTTATACAAATGTGTCTTCTGATCCTAGATCCTGTGATTGAGCAAAAACCATCTCAGTGATCAGTTGAGCTGTCTGAAGCTTTTATCAGCACTTACGCTGTTTCCAAAATTGTTTCTGTCAAACATTCAACCCAAGTCATTAAAGCTTAAAAATGTATCTACAAAGGTCTATAGGAAGACTCTGTAGAAAGTGGAGGTTTGATGCATTTAAATGAGGTCCCTTTGAAACCATCCACAGAATTCAAAAGTAAATCTTACCAAGAACACTAATGCCAACTCCTTTGTAGTCTAATAATTCTTTTTGTATCTCTAACAACACCTAGGAAAAAAAAAAAGAAACGAAGGTGATTTCAATATGCTGCGCATAACTTTTTCTCAGTATATAGACTTGAGTCCTCCTTCCTCCCTGTAGCCAAAGCCCTGGATGACACAACTTACACACAAGTTTCACATGAAATTAGCCAATGTGAATGATGTTAAGATACGCTATTTCCAAAGGTGTGAATTTACTGATTCCCTAAGAAATGTCCCGTTTGCCACTCTCCTAAAGCTAAAATGCAGAATGCATACAGGTCTGGGTTAAGGGAACAATAACAACAACAAAAAAAAATCAATGATGCCTGAGTATACAGATAAATCGATTTTCCGATCTCATTTGGTCTGAGATGCTAGACTGGGCTGGGTGCGGTGGGCAGGAAAAAGGAAGGGTCTATGGTGAATAAGATTTATCCCAGGTTGCTATAACAAGATTGGCAAAATGTTGACAGTTATTGAGTCTCAGAGACGGGTACTGGAAGGTTCTTTATACTCTATCTTTGTGTATGTGAGGATGTCCATAATAAAAAATAAAGAGACAAAGCAAAGCTCTAAAAACAAACACAAAAAAGTGCAAAAGAACCTCAGTAAAAGCAACCTACCAGACAAGGTCTACAAATGGGAGACCGCATCTTTAAAAGATACCAGCAAGCCGGGCTCGGTGGCTCAGCCTGTAATCCGCGCCTTTGGGAGGCTGAGGTGAGTGGATTGCCTGAGCCCGCGGGTTCGAGACCCGCCTGGGCAGCGAGACCTCATCTCTACAATAAATCAAAAAAATCAGCCAGGCGTGGTAGCGCATGCCTGTAATTCCAGCTACTCAAAAAGCTGAGGCAGAAGGATGACCGGAGCCCAGCAGGTGAGGCTGCGGTGGCCGGGAGCGGCCACTGCACTCAGGTCTGGGCAACAGAGTGAGACTCCAACTCAAAAAAAAAAAAAAAAAAAAAGATACCAGCAAGCTGGGAGCAATGGCTCATGCTTGTAATCCCAGCACTTTGAGAGACCAAGGTAGGAAGACTGCTTGAGACCAGCCTGAGCAACATAGCAAGACCTCATCTCTACAAAAAGTAAAAAAAAATCAGCTGGAGGTGGTGGCACACACCTGTAGTCCCAGCTATTCTGAGGCCGAGGCTGAAGGACTGCCTGAGCCCTTGGGGAAGCCGAAGCTACAGTGAGCTATGATCGTGTCACTGTACTCTAGCCTGGGAGACAGAGTGAGATCCTGACTCAAAAAAAAAAACAAAAAACAACCAAAAGATACCAGCTAAGGAGGACATCATTAAAGCATAGGTATAGTCTAAGCTGGATTGCAAGTTGTCTAAAAAAACAGTATTTTAACAATAAGGAATTAGACAAAAAAGGGAAAAGAATTCCTTGACAACCAGGTCAAGAATGTGACACTGTTTTTAAAATGTTGAGTGCTTGTTAGCACCAGTTGGTCAAATAAAATTTAGTGATTCCTTTCATTTAGTAAACAGAAGCATTCTTCTGTTCATCTGTAAGACAATCATCTTTGAACTTGCTCTAAAACTGGATTTTTCTAATAGACAGCCTTCCTTGAAAACATATCTATAAAAGTTTATAATCAAAATCATTACAAAGAGTTTTAAAGACTTTTTCTGGAAAACCATACCACCACCCATCCCCCCAATCCAGTGGAGTTTTTTCAAACTGCAGAACGCAATCGTTTTTGTGGATGGTAACTAATTTTTTTTTTTAAGAGACAGGGTCTCCCACTGTCACCCAGGCTGAACTGTAGTGGTGCGATCATAGCTCACTGCAGCCTAGAATTCCTGTGCTTAGGCGGTCATCCTGCCTCAGCCTCCCAAGTAGCTAGCACTATTAGGCACTATCACCACACCTGGCTAATTTTTTTTTTAGGTTTATAGTTGGGATCTCACTGTGCTGTCCAGGCTTGTCTTGAACTCCCTGTTTAAAGTGCTCTCCCTACTTCAGCCTCCCAAGTCACTGGGATTACAGACTAAGCCGCGGCATCCAGCTCACAACTAGTTTGTCTAATCAAATAAACTAGAGCAGAATGGAATTCAAAATAGTGTATGTCACTGATAATTAGTCCAAACATTATTTTGTAAGATTTGTACTTTTATTGCAATTGTATGAATGTGCTTTGTCATTCTCTAAAACAGAGGTCCTCAAACTTTTAACACAGGGGGCCAGTTCACTGTCCCTCAG